TTTCTCTTACTATCAAAGCCATTTTATTCTCTCCCCTCATGTCAAAAACAGGATGTCTCTGTTTTCTTTTCTTCCCATTTCCTTTCCTTTCCTATTAACACCATCTCAGTTTCCCCTTAGAAGATCCATCATACAATTGGAACAGGAATAATGCATTGGAATAACTTATATAGTAACATCCAAGTGAACTGGAAGATGTATACCTTGCAACTTGGCTTTACTCACCTAAAACTGGGTTTAACCTCATGTAAACTTTCACTATATCTCAAATGAAATATGAAATTTTTAATTAAACTTTTTACTTTAAGACAGTGACTTAACTCAGAATTCCATTGACAACTCCTTGAGGCAATGTGGAGCATATACATATTTTTTTAAATTTTAAAATATTTGTCAATATTGAAGTCTGGTAGGGTTGCATAATTTATGCTTCATTTTGGTCATGAAAATAAAATTGTACTTGTGTGTAGTGACTTCAAGTTTAAAAATCCCTCTCACATAGACAGTGTGGCTCAATCTTACACTAAGATGCTTTGGTGGAGTATACATCAGCCTGGTCAGATATTCAAAGACGTAGCATGGAGGAGTGTGTAATACTATTAACACAAAACATAACATGGGTCTCATACCGTGATGGTGCATGGCTTATAGCCAGATGCTCCCCCGTCTGCATCCCCATGTGCAAAAAGGAGGGGATGTGGAGGTGATTAAGTCACAGGACTGTGATAGTCATCGGTGGATTAGTCCACAGATGAGCTTATAGCTAAACGTTGGGAAGTGAAGCCTGGCTGGGGGAGGTGCGTCAGTGAGGAATGTGCCCTTGAAGAGTGTAACTCCTTCCTTCTTGCCTGAGTGCTCTCCGCTTCCTGCTTGCCCTGACATTAGGTGTTTTTCATCCGCCATGCCCAGTTGTCACATCATGGTCCCTTGGAGCCAGCCGACTAATGACTGAAACCTCTACAAACTGTGAGTGAAAATAAATCTCTCCTTTAAATTGTTGGTATCTCGTATTTATCCCAGCAACAAAGAAAGTAACTAAAACAGATGGTTAAGCTTGCTTGTGTCAGCTTAGTTGGCTTGGGAGCTGCCAAGAGGATTGACAGAGCATACTTCTGGGTGCGTCTGGTGATTCGTGGAGGTGTGACCTAGAGTACTCTATCCGGTGCTTCACTCCTTCCTCCTTGGCACTGTTCCTCTGCTCTGCTTCCAGGCCACAGTGAGCTAAGCGTCTTTGTTCTGCTGTGCCCTTCTGCCTGCTGCTGTCTTGGAGCCAGCTGACCATGGGCTGAATTTCCTGAAACTACAAGCCTAATTAAACTGCTGCTCCTGCACATCCTATCAGATATTGTGTCCCAGAAATGGGAAGCAGAATAATAATAATAAATAATAATAATAATAATAATAATAATAATAATAATAATAATAATAATAAACTGGTACCAGAGAAGTGGGTTTGTTGCCGTGACTGCAACCAAACATGTGACTTAGAAGCCTTTGGGAATTTGTTTGTGGTGGAATTTGAAAAGATTTGGAGATGCAGACTACAGAAGCCCTTAAATACTGTGAGAACCTCTTACAGTATTGTAGCTCAGCTCTGCAGACCAGAATACTGTTAAAAGTGCCAACAGGAGGCCATTCTCAGGGGTTTTCAGGTGAGAAGAAGAGCTTCATTAGCAATTTGATTAGAAAGTATGTGTGTTTCATTCTGGCAAAAAAAAAAAAATTGCCTATATTTTGCCCACGTTCTAAAATTTTGTAGGAGACCAAGATTATGGGTGGTAGGCTAGTTGTTCTGGTGGAGGAAATTCAAAAGCAACCTAACATTCAGACTGGTACGGATAATGATGACTTCTTTTAGCCAGATTTATGGTGAGAATTGGGGAGGGGGTAGAAAAACTTGAAAAACTTTCTGAGCCAGAAAGAACCATGTATACAGTTTGGGTTAAAGAGGGTGTAGGTGACGAGAATAGTGCCATTAAAAAGAAATCAAGACTTTTTACTAGGGCAAAAGAAAGATGCCTTAAGGAAAACTCAGAAATCAGCCACCCAGTACAGGTTTAAGAGTACCAAAGTGTAAACCTCTCTTTTGAGAAGACAATCCCTGGGCCCCCTGCTCAAAAAGGGCCTCCTAAGAAATTGGTTTCCTGGAATTCATTTCACTGTGCTCAGCTTTCCAAGCACTCAGAATACACTTCAGGAATGATCCAAGGCAGGGAAGGCCACAACTCTCACTGAGAGCAGGCCTTAACATTGTCCACGTGTTGCCTTTCTGAGTGATGCGCAGAATATAAGAGTTATAGTGTCCAAAAGACTCCACCATATTTCAAAGGAAGGCTTGGGAGGCCAGGCAAGGAGAAGAGAGTACATGAGGATGTGGGAATGAAGCTGAAGGCACAGTGGAGACCACAGTAAGCTGGAAATGCCAGGAACATAGAACATTTGCCAAGTAGGCCTGTAGGAAGCAAGTGGAGTCAGCCCAAGAGAAAGCCCAGGGGAGCTGCGATTGACAATGCTTTTTAGAACTTATATTTCATGATCATGTGCCCCAGATGCCACACATGGAGCTAAAAGATGCAATGTTTTCCTTTATGGGTTTCAGTCTTACTTTTATCCAGTTCTTTTTTGTTCCTCTATTTTTCCTTTTTGAAATGGGAATCTTTATCCTGTAGCATTTTATATTTGGAATATGTAACTTGATTTTTTTTTACAGTTTCCTAAGAGTTTTCCTTGAGTCTTAGAGGAAGCTTTGCGTTGGATTTTTTTAAAAAAACACTGGAAGAGTTGGGACTCTGGGGAAGGTAAAACTGTATTATCTGTGGTATGCAGGATAATTATAACACTTTAGGTGGAATTATTAACTTCTTATTTTGTATATTTGGGGATTAAGTGGTTTAAGGATATGTGATTGGGTATGAGGTTGACAAGTAAGATGTAATGATTAAGCTTGATTGTGTCAACTTGATTGGCTGGGGAGCCACGTAGGGAATTGTTACAGCACATTGATGGCTATGTCTGGGTAAGTCATGGAAGCATGAAATTGGGTTCTGTGTATGGTTCTTGGTCACTTTCTCTCTAGCTCTGTGGCCCTGCTCTGCTTCCCAGTCACCATGAACGATTCATCTTTTCTCTGACTCTCGCTTCTGCCATGATGTTTCTGACTTGGAGCCAGCTAACCATTGATTGAATCCCATAAAACTGTAAGCCAAATCAAACTTTTGTTTCTTTAAATTGTTGATGTTGGGTGTTGTGTCACAGCAACAAAAAACTATGACATTTATTAAGAATTTATTATATACCCAAAATAATGTTAAGCTTTTAAGCGCATCATTGGTATACTTTCATTGAAGATCTATAACAACCTTCAGACATAGATTCTATAAGTGGAATCTGAGGCTCATAGAGGTTGAGAAACATTTTTCAAGACACCATAGATGGAAATTGGCAGATCTTGCATGACTTCAAGCATCAGAATTTCCTGCAAAGTTGTTGATAGTAAAGCCAGGTTCTTAAATCACTTGGACTCACTCTGAATCACAGCTCATTTCAAAATATCTTCTCTGTAAAATACTTATCATGATATTAACAGCATGTTTGAACCACAAACTCGGTTACAATAATAGGCTATTTATAATGTTGAGATATAAACTTTAGTGTATTTTCTTAATGCAATTTCCCAAATTTTATTATATACATTCACAAAGTTTAAAGTTAATTAATAAAAATATATACATACAAGAATGTAACACTGTTTTGGAAGGTTGAAAATTCATTGACCCATCTAGTCAAATGAGTTACAGTTTGGTCTAATATGGAAGATGTTAAAGTCACAATAACCAAAAAGTAGAGAGCAAAGAAAGGAGTCAGGGGAGAGATGTGTCCTTCCATTTCACACCCCTAGTGATCCACTGCTAACAAGTTCCCACCTTCTAAAAACTCACTTAGCCATAAAATCACCATTGGTTTAATCCACTAAAGAATATAGTGCCTCGTAATCAAATTATCTTCTAAAGGCTCCACCTCTGAACACTCAAAGGCTTTTGGGGAATGCTGTATATCTAAAATATAACCCTCTATCTCTATGCTGCAAAAACCCATGTCTGTTTTTATATGTAAAGTAACTTTAGTCCACCTCTAAGAGTCACCAAAGTTTTAACAGTTTGAGCACTGCTGAAAAGTTCCAGTCCAAAGTTCATCTGAGACTTGAGGCAAACACTTAGCTGGGAAGCACTTTAAAAATCAAAAAGAATGTTAAACACTGCTGACATCTAAGGACACAGAAGAAACATTACCATTCTAGAAAGGAAAAATAGGGATAGAAATCAAGCAACCAAAACAAGACCGGAATTTACCAGAGCAAACATTAATTCCTATAACTTCATATCTAGTAAGATGTCAATTCAAAGAACTTGGTCAGGTGTTCACCTTAGAAGCACATACACCAAGGACTTCGTCAGTCCTGTTTGTTTGACACTGCTGATTGCAATCTGCATGTTCTCTCTCTTGAGGTAGCTCAGACCACTGCCTGCAGCTTTCCTCAGTAG